CGTGAAGACCTCATTTTATGTACATTTTGTGTCCTCATATATTCTGAATAATATGTCTGTCTGTATCACTGTGTTACTGTCCAAAACATCTGTTGTTCAGCCTAAAAACTGCCAAATCATATTTTTGTTTTAAATTACTTAAATATATTGAGTGGCTATATTTGGTATACAGGAAGGAACCTTTCCAATATTAGTAAAATCAATCATTTTACTTGTGAAAAAACTTTTGCTGGTCTAATTGTCTGCTTGTTTGTTTGTGCTTTTGTGAGTTTGTCTGCAGTACCATTTTTTGGGTCGGCAGTAGTGGCCACAATCTTAGAGATTTTTGCCTCATTGTTTTGTAGATTGATAAAAGACCTAGGGTGAACTGCTTTGATTTTCATGAGGATCAGAAACTAGATTCAGTTTGGTGATATCTTACAATTTTGAACTCTTATTTTATTTAAATGCTACACAGTAAAATTGATTACACTGTCAGAAAGCCCATTAGTAATCTGTTGGTGTAAACCATTAGCCACTTGATTAAACAACACAGCTGGATTCAGGATTAAATGTTATGTTAAAATTCAAGTTTCCAGCACTCTCTTATTCCTTTGTTTTCACACAAGAAGTATAAATTATATTATATAATTCACAAGTCCTTGCTCTGTGAGCAATTTCATTAAAAATTATTGTTAATTGGAGTGTACTGCTTAATGTTAATATGAAGCAATGGGAAATGTTTTTTGTGTTACAGGCCAGCTTTGCTGTCTAGTTAACTTAATACTCTTGCATCATCTTATTTGACCATTAAAATGTAAGAAAAAAAAAACACTTTAATTTTGGAAATACAGGCATACCCATGTGCCAGGTTTTAATATGTGTATGGTGACCCCAAAATACAGGCATACCCATGTGCCAGGTTTTAATATGTGTATGGTGACCCCAAAATACAGGCATACCCATGTGCCAGGTTTTAATATGTCTATGGTGACCCCAAAATACAGGCATACCCATGTGCCAGGTTTTAATATGTGTATGGTGACCCCAAAATACAGGCATACCCATTTGCCAGGTTTTAATATGTGTATGGTGACCTAGCTGTTTTTGAAATGCAATTGAAATAATCTGTGATATGTAGAGGTAATTGTGGTGATAGGCTATCGAGAAGTAGGTGTCATAGGTGTCAAGTATCTTACATTGACACAGTGAAAAGATTGAATTTATTTAGGTGTCCCCACCATGTTTCAGGGTATTTGGTTGGAACATGAATGACCTTGATGATGATGGTGAAGATGACCAAAGCCCTGAAGATGGCAGCACTGCAGAGGATACAGGATCCGTGAACTTGTTTAATACAGCTAAAGGTAATAACCAGAGAAAATACTTTCACTGAATACTTTTATTGGTTCCCCATTTTACCAAGTGGTGAAAATATGTAATCTGTTGGCATGGGCATAACTAGGCATACGCACGGATGCACTGTGCGTACAATTTTTGGGCCAACTATGATATTATTTTATATAAATAAAGTGTATTTTTCACGAAATATAAAAGAAAATCCTCTGCTTATTAAAGTCACCTGTATGTACAAATCCTCTGTATCAATTGTATAGGCACAATTGTTCTGACCCCCCCCCCCCCTTACATACTTTTATTGAATTGAGGTAAACAATGCCTGTAACCTTAACAAGTCCCATCTTAATCGTCCATCTAACTGGAACTTCCTTTACCTCTTAATTGGAGGGTTCACTGGCCCTCAACTCTCTTGCAGCCTCTTTCTTGAGAATATCGAACGCATTCTCGCTGGCGATGTTTATCTCAGGTAAAAATCTGCCTGAGTGTTATTTTCAAAGAGCAGCTCCCGCAACCCTGGGGGCACTAGATAAAATCTGGACACCAGGTTTAATAAGGAGCTAGAGAAACAAAGGAAGAATTTTTCCTGCAAAGCTTCAAAGAATTTTGACAAGGACTTGACCAAGCTTACCCCTCCAAACTAACAGGGTGACATGGGCAATTTTTACAAACAAATAATTAAACTTGGATGTATCAGAGCTCTGTCGTGTCGTACAATTGGTTGTTTTGGGGAGCCATGCATCCACATGTAAGGTGAATGAAACCGTATGTTAGTTCAACTCAGAGGTGGATCCAGGATTATTCGAAGGGGGTTCCACATATGCGAAGCTAGCCTCCTTTTAAATAAATAAATACCGTTTTGGGTAATAAGAATATTGAAACTTTTTTAATTGCGAGAATATTTCTGACTAAATGATGATTTTATTATTAATGGAAATTAAGCTGCCATGTGTGGTACAAATGCTGTGATTACGCTGTCCTTCATCTGTTGCGTTAGTCTACATTTTGCTGGGAATTTTAAAAAGCTGTGCGTACAATTTTTAAAGGTCTGGTTACGCCCCTGTGTTGGTTCTCCATTCTTTTAAGTGAAGAAAATACACAGGTTCCCCATTTTGACAAATGATGTGCTAAAAGGTGAGTTAAAAGCTAGGTTATATGAAGAGTAGTTTGACTAGTTTCTTGCTTCATTATCTCTCTTGCTGCTGAAACTCACAGTACATCTTTTTTTTTTCCAGATACAGTGTTAAGTATTGTAAAGACAGTGTTGACAGTAAACAGTGATACCGCTGACGCTGCAGGTGAGTGTGATAGTTACTGGGTCAGTTTTGGCAACTAAATTAATGTTAATTTCAGTGGGAATGTTTCTCCACCGCCACCTGTTCATGTAGTCATTACTGTTACAAGAGAATTGGCAATTTTTATTTAGACTTCGTTAAAGTTGAGTTGTGTTATTTTGTTATGAATGAGCAAAAAAACAATTAAGGCATTGCCCTATGAGCCTGTGTTCAAATTCTTGGAATACAGCATGATATAAATATGTCACTTTTGTCTCTGTAGGTAATGCAACCAATGGCACTAGCAGTACAGAGGCGCCACCTGTGGAAGCTGTTCCCAAACCTTGTTTTCCTGATGACAAGTAAGTACACTGTTAAAACACTCCTGTCACTTTGACAACAAGACTGTCTTAGACTAGACGTAGTTTTATTGCTGTTTCCAGGCAAATACACTTCAGCATTTGACATTCCATTTATATATAATATTTGATAAATGTCTTATGTAAAGACTTCTGTCTTAAATAATAAGTTTGATCACTCTTCAAAGCTACAAAATATTTAATCAAATAATCAGTAGGAGAAACCTGCATATGTTATGAACCACTTAATATTATTATTCATTTCAGACCTGTTGTTCGGCCTGAACTTGGTTTAGATACCCCATCTGAGGTCTCAGAAACCACTTCAAGCCCTGGAAGTAAACCTTGGAAGTCAAAACATAAGAGTTTCCTGCAGTCATTGTTATCTGAGTGTAGTGTATGTGACAAAACCAGTCATCAAACTCAGGTGACATCAGGAACTTGTGGCTATTTTATAGCCCTGACAGGTAGCTGTATGCACCCCATGTCATGTAGTGACAGACTGCCAATCACACAGGGGACAGGTGTCAGTGGGACTGACTCCGCCCATAGACCAACCTCTGCCCTCAAGTCAAGCTCCACCCACATAGTAAAAGATGGAACAAGCTCCACCTCCAGTGAAGTATCAAAGTCAGTCACTGAGATGTCAGTCATCCAGACCACACCCACCTCCATGACAGTTGTGGTGAGCAGTAGCACAGCTCTGAACTCAGCAGGTTCCACAGGAAGTATAGCTCCTAGCCAGAGTGACCCCAGCTCCACCAGCATACACAGGGAGTCTAAAGAATCAACACAGAAGTTGAGTATAAAAACTGACATGTCCAGCACTGACACAGACCCTGGACTACAAACCACACCCACCACTGGAGAAGTAAGAACAGAAATAGAGGAGTCCAGAGATAAAACACACCAACAGGCAGCAACTGGGAACACTTCAAAGCAGACTAGTGAAACGCTTCAGTCATCTTTGAAAACAGTCAGCAGCAAGGCAGTAGAGCCTACGGATCAACTTCATCCTCCACCTCTACAATCCAATACAGCAGGGGAAAAAGATGAGAGTTCTCTGTCATCATCAGCATCAGAATCTGTGTTTTTAGAACCTTGCACACAAGACAGTCCAGCTTCACAGGAAGCCATCACACAAGTGCCAGTGACTGAACCTATAGATGGCACCACTGAGCCAATACAGGCCCAAGTGAATGGCAGTAAAGAGAAAGAGTTTTATGCCCAGAACAAGACTGAGACAGGTAAACATGATATGATGCCTGATGAGGATAAAATAATTGCTGTGGGAAACATCAAGAAGGAGACAGCTATGATGAGGTTGAATAATAAGATGAAAGCTCTGGAGCTGAATATATCCCTTAGCAGCAGGTAGGCATAAAACACTAGTTACAATTATATTACTTAAGTAAAGTTATTTTATGAAAGTACCAGACATCATTGGGTATTACCTAATAAAGATAAACTATTTAATCAAAGTATTAGGCATTATTTATGTGTTGTCAATGATTTACTTCAGCAGTCACATTGATATCAGAATATGTGCTGTTCACTCAGAATGGTGATTTGCCTCTCATCTCTTTGTTGCAGGTATTTAGAGGAATTAAGTCAAAGTTTCAAGAAGAAGAATGAAGACATGCAAAAAGCTTTCAATAAAACCATCACCAGTTTGAGGAAAACAGCACAAGATGCTGAGGATAGGGTAAGCTCACAATCCTGCTGATAGCTCTGAATGATTGAAGCAGTTAGAATTTGTTTGTGATAAAGAGAAGTAGCCTGTTTACATGACTTCAAGACTTTAAATAGTTCTGCCTTGTTTAAAGTGTAGCGATGCAATGAGATATTGTGACAAAGTAAATAACATTCATAGAAAAAAAAACCCTGTGAATATTTCAGGACTTGGTTCAACAAGCCACTATAGCTAGTCTACAGCAGAGATTGGAGAATCTGACTTACACCATGGTAGCCATGGCAGACGACATGAAGCAGATGCAGATAAAGGTGAGAACACAGAAAATGTAGTCTGCTGAATGTGATTGTGTTTGTAGACCACAGATTATGTTGTCTGCTGAATGTGATTGTGTTTGTAGACCACAGATTATGTTGTCTGCTGAATGTGATTGTGTTTGTAGACCACAGATTATGTTGGCTGATGAATGTGATTGTGTTTGTAGACCACAGATTATGTTGTCTGATGAATGTGATTGTGTTTGTAGACCACAGATTATGTTGTCTGCTGAATGTAATTGTGTTTGTAGACCACAGATTATGTAGTCTGCTGAATGTGATGGTGTTTGTAGACCACAGATTATGTTGTCTGATGAATGATACAGTAATGAAGTTTGTAGTGAGGATAGTGTAGGATAATACATCTGATGGATTGGCTTATTGCCAGCAGTGATAATGTGATACATTCCTACTGTTGTGTGATGCTGGGGTATGTGATACATTCCTACTGCTGTGTTATGATGGGGTATGTGATACATTCCTACTGTTGTGTTATGCTGGGATATGTGATACATTCCTACTGTTGTGTTATGCTGGGGTAGGCTAGTTTTGTCAAATGTGTGGTGTAAAGTTATAATTTGTTATCATAAAATCAATTTCCTCTTCCAAATGTAATGTCACTGATGCTGTTCTCTACAAACTGGGATGGTATTCCACATTAGTCTGCAGAGTTACACTCCAGTTAATGCTGTCAATACTTCCAGGCAGTGGAGTTCCACCTGGTGGTGCTAGCTGTCCAGGCCATGGTGCTGATAGCAGTGTTGTTGTGGTGTTTGAGCAGACGTCCTCCCAGTCCTTCCAAGATTGAGCTGGAGAAGTTACTTAATGAGGTAGGTTACCAGTCGCACGATGTGGTATGCTGGAGAAGTTACTAAATGAGGTAGGTGACCAGTCTCATAATGTGATATACTGGAGAAGTTACTTAATGAGGTAGGTGACCAGTCTCATAATGTGATATACTGGAGAAGTTACTTAATGAGGAAGGTGACCAGTCTCATGATGTGANTGTAGACCACAGATTATGTTGTCTGATGAATGATACAGTAATGAAGTTTGTAGTGAGGACAGTGTAGGATAATACATCTGATGGATTGGCTTATTGCCAGCAGTGATAATGTGATACATTCCTACTGTTGTGTTATGCTGGGGTATGTGATACATTCCTACTGCTGTGTTATGATGGGGTATGTGATACATTCCTACTGTTGTGTTATGCTGGAGTATGTGATACATTCCTACTGTTGTGTTATGCTGGGGTAGGCTAGTTTTGTCATATGTGTGGTGTAAAGTTATAATTTGTTATCATAAAATCAATTTCCTCTTCCAAATGTAATGTCACTGATGCTGTTCTCTACAAACTGGGATGGTATTCCACATTAGTCTGCAGAGTTTCACTCCAGTTAATGCTGTCAGTACTTCCAGGCAGTGGAGTTCCACCTGGTGGTGCTAGCTGTCCAGGCCATGGTGCTGATAGCGGTGTTGTTGTGGTGTTTGAGCAGACGTCCTCCCAGTCCTTCCAAGATTGAGCTGGAGAAGTTACTTAATGAGGTAGGTTACCAGTCGCACAATGTGGTATGCTGGAGAAGTTACTTAATGAGGTAGGTTACCAGTCGCACGATGTGGTATGCTGAAGAAGTTACTTAATGAGGTAGGTTACCAGTCGCACAATGTGATATACTGGAGAAGTTACTTAATGAGGTAGGTGACCAGTCTCATAATGTGATATACTGGAGAAGTTACTTAATGAGGTAGGTGACCAGTCTCATAATGTGATATACTGGAGAAGTTACTAAATGAGGTAGGTGACCAGTCTCATAATGTGATATACTTGGAGAAGTTACTTAATGAGGTAGGTGACCAGTCACATAATGTGATATACTGTAGAAGTTGCTAAATGATGTAGGTGTCCAGTCACATAATGTGATATACTGGAGAAGTTACTGAATGAGGTAGGTGACCAGTCACATAATGTGATATACTGGAGAAGTTACTTAATGAGGTAGGTGACCAGTCACATAATGTGGTATACTGGAGAAGTTACTTAATCAGGCCTAACCAACTACTAGACTCGGCACCTACAGATCCAGAATAAACCGGTATATCAGACCACACTACCCGTTTTCAAGGTGTGTCTCAGATCGCATTACAGAGTATCAGCCACCACACCGATTTTGCCTGGTGCGCGATGTGATAGCGATGATCGTAGTAATAGATAAACCCCGAGTCAGCGAGGGTTATGTGGCATACACGAGTGCAAGCACGAGTGGATGTCACTTAACCCTCGCTGACGAGGGATCTATCTTATTTAGACCATGGGTCCATTAGCGGGTTATAACGCATTCATGCGAGACGTGCGGTTATGCAAGTTACACCACGTCTGAGTCTTTTGTTCTTCACTTCCACCGTGGTCTAAAGCGGGGTTGGAAAGTAGTGCATCTCATCTAGATTCATGCGCTGCTGCAATTTTCCCTGTACATGCTAAAAATCTGACAATACCGCAATTTTTAACATAAAATTTAGGTTCGAACAATAGCCAGTGATGTTTTGTAAATAAGAACTTGCAAACTTATATATTCATAGTAGACCTAATTTTGATAGCAGAAGCATGTTCTGTCGGGGGTGAAATATTTTCTGGACGAGATTCAGTGAGTCGTCTGTCGCCATGTTGTCTCTCGGAACTACTCCAATGTCTCCGCACTCGACAATAGTATGGAGCTTGCGGAATGAGCCGAGGATTGCCGAATTCCTTGTTGTTGTATTCATACGACTCCTACTTGACGAAAACGAGGTGCGATACCCGGATGACAGGTAGACTTACAAAATTTGTGATGGGGTATGATACTCTGTAATGCGATCTGACACACACCTTGAAAACGGGTAGTGTGGTCTGATATACCGGTTTATTCTGGATCCGTAGGTGCCGAGTCTGGTAGTTGGGTAGGCCTGTTAATGAGGTAGGTGACCAGTCTCATAATGTGATATACTGGAGAAGTTACTAAATGAGGTAGGTGACCAGTCACATAATGTGATACACTTCTCTCATGTTGTAGCCAAATATTACAGTCACATAATGAAGTGCTGTTCTTCATGCAGTATCACATATAGACCCAGTGAATCCTTAAATTGATTTTGATGTATTGAACAGCAATTTCTTAACATTTGTCTTTGTTGAGTCAATAAATTTGTTTTTCCTTTTTTATAAAGACAGTAGTGAATACACAGCGAACTGAAAAAAATGGATACAAATTTATCTTGCACCAAAACTTATGGGGTATGAAGTAAAACAGTGTTTATCTGTACAGGTGAAGAGCCATCGCCCCAACATTCCAGCCCGGCGTCTTTCTGTTGATGAAAGTGCATTCCTAGAAAGTCCAGAGCCAATCCTTACTGAGAGACTTTCTGGTAAGAACTGAAAATGATTTTAATAGGTTGTTGCAAGCCACAGTATGTCTGTACGTACAGAGTCACAGCAGAGAAGATGATTGGTCGGTTCTTACAGTGAGTCATGTAGTCTCTAATCTTTGTTATCAGTAAACCACCAGAGACAGAACATTTAGTGGTGAATCGAAAGACTCATCAGTACCTGTCTTAGATTTATGTACTTAATATGTGCTGATTCCCTTGGTTTATTGCAGGTTCAGATCCAGATTTGACCATCATTCAGCCGTCACTGCCTCTTATCACAGATTCTCCACTGAGGGTAAGTATTTCAGTGTCAAACTCGGGGAAACCTAGAACAAAATCTTTAATACTGCTTTGGGTGTCTTTTCTCCATACATACAGTGTTTGTGATATGAAGATGAAGACTGTGTATACCACTGTGTATGATTTGATAAAAATCATAAACACTGTATTAAATTTATCTTGTAGTATCTGTTTGCATTTCAAAAAACTTCAAAAAGATCTCAAACTGTTTGATGTGTTTATTGCGCCTTTATCTTCACAGGCTCCACCAGATGCCAAGAAGAAGAAAAAGGTGAGGAAGCGAAAGTCTCAAGAGAAAGCGTCCAAGTTGTCGTCCCAGCTCCTTATAAGTCCGTCAGTTCACAATGATGAAGCAGTCCATGAAGATGTCACCAGTGCTGGACTTCTGTTTGCAGGTGTCATGAATGGCAGTCTAGTCCAGGGGGAGGAGGCCTTTAGTTACCATCAATCTAGTCAAAGTTTTCCAAAGATGGACAAGTCTCCAACAGTGAATGGTTTTCCTCTATCTGACCAACATACAAACAGCATTGAAAACATTGGACCTATTGTAACTGGAAAGATGAATGGCCATTACAACAGTAACCATAACAACAGTAACCAAGGCAACAATAAAGTAACACTTAGGAAGAAAAAGAAGCAAAGAGAAGACCAATGTCAGCTACCTCCTTCCTGTCCAAAACCAGATAATCATATAAATTCTGTTGCCAGTTGGTTACCATGGAAACAGTAAATAGAGTGCTAATCAAAATTATCAGTGTGGGGTCAAAATTGGTCATGAGGGGACAGTAACAAAATGTTTGGTTTATTGTTTTACTTCTCTACAAATGTACAGGAATATTATGGTAGGGGTTGGCATAGCTGCAGCTTATCACTGCTTTGTGCTTTGCAGTTGGTAAATGTTGTAGTCTTAGTGAAATGTTTGGGTTTTGACACTGTTAATTTGGCTTAAAAATCCACAAGAGAGGTAAAAGGCACACATCAGGTTCTGCTAACATGGCTGTGGAATGATAGCTGTGTCCAGTCAATATCGACATCTTATCTTGGTGGATATTTTATGGTACTAGAGACTTCCTGCCCAGTGGAAGTGCTTTACCTCGTGTACAGTGTGCAATGGTGTAGAAAGCAAGGTGCCCCACTGTGTATCATTTACATCATTGGAGTATCAGTAACATATGCAATTGTGTAGAAAGCAAGGTGCCCCACTGTGTATCAGTAACATCAGTGGAGTATCAATTCCATGTGCAATGCTACTCTGCAGTGACTGGAGCTATTACAGAACCAGAGAATACTAACAATAGTGACTGGAGCTATTACAGAGCCAGTGAATACTAACAATCAGTGCTGAAAGGATTACAGTGCTACAGAAGGCTTGCTTCAAGTCAATGTATTTTTATATGGTACAGGTTAGGAGTTATCATTGCTTTATTTATAGTGTCATGTTGTTGTTGTTGATTTTGTGTAAAATAATGATCAGTATTATTATATTTTATGTTAATATTGTTTATTGATATTGTTATTATATTGCGATGCAGAAGTGACTGTTTCCTTTGTTACCATGAGATTTTCTTATCTTATAATAACATAAAGAACAAAGGTTATCTGCTATACAGTAAGTTATGCAGGAGCAGGGATGGTTTCAAAGTTTGGCTTCACACAGCAGAGGTTGGTCAGTTGTAAATATAGTTATAGAAAACCTCTTGTGTTACCAGTTGAAATAATCCATAGCACAGGCTTTGAAAAAGGCTTCTGGTTTCTAAATCTATCAAAATCTTATTTGAAAAATGCCCTTATGTTTTAATTACTGTAAAATGTTAAAGCACGTTTCTTTAATAAATCAACTGGTGGAACTATTTGTATGGGACATTGGAAACTATGCTCAGTTAGTCAGGACAGAGCCAAGGATATTTATATATTCAGATAATAATAATTGTAAGAAAATGTGAAAGTTTCATGACTTGAACCAGTGTATGAAATGGCCGCCTGCCCGCCAGCCCGAGGCTGGTAACTTTCAGGCCGGGCGGGTAAGATTTGCAAATTACCCGCCCGACGGGCTGGCTAATTTACAGCCTATTTTCACCTTTTATTTTGTCTATGTTCACAAGCGATTTCAGCAAAATAAACTCACTGTTTTCACCCACTTTCATAGAAGCAAAGAACTAACCATAGCTTGAAATCGAACCCTCGTATCGAAATGTAACCAACAGTCTCCCTCTCAGTGGTCTCGTTTTCGAAGTTCCGTCTGTGTGATATGAAGTTGAAAGACAATTTGAAACGAGGCACATTGTTCTTAACCAGCTTCAGTGCACAGCAGATAACGTTACGTCATTGTTTTGTGTAGAGGAGATACCGCGAGCAGCAATTTGTAGGTCGAGAGTAATAAAAATGTGAAAGTATAAAAAGTTATGATATTGATTAAATAGACGTATAGGTACATGAAGTGCTTATAATCAACAGTAATAAAGGCAACGGAGGCAAATTAAAGGAGAATTTTACAAAAAATTGGAATCCCCAAATTATGAGTGAACGTGCGAGTTTACGCCGTGCGTCAGATGTAGTTCTTTTCCCACGTGCTTTCATCTTGGGCTGTCAAAAATGAAAAAAATTCTATCAAGTCCGATAGAGAAGTTCACAAAAGAAAAACAATTGAGGAAAGAAATAAAAATAACAAAGATTACGACAGAACCAAACAAAAGAGAACAAATTGGGGACATGGAAATTAAGGTGACTTCAATTTGCAATTAGTCGAGCGGCAACATTTTTTGTAAAACCTAACTCGAAAGTATCACGCATTGCGACCGAGCGCAAGCATCTCGATCCAATAACTCGCCCATGCTCGCCCCATATAATATATTGTAGCCTCTATGTGATATATATATAGCTATTCTCAATAAGCAATGCTTTCGAGATACGGGGCCTTGCAGGACTGTCTATGGGCGATTAGCGTGCAGGACCGTTCCCGACCGCTTTTTAAAGCTTAAAAGCGATATTCAAAGGGTCCCTCATGCTGAATTCTTTCTTCTTTATTGTCAGCACAGAGATCGATTTATTTGACAACAATATATATATTTGGTCATACTTGTTGCTA